CCCCCCCCCCCACCTGTATCAGAAATATCTTGTATATATAATCTTCAATTCATCTTATCTTTGCAGAACGTGAAAGAAATGAACGACAAACTGTGGGAAAGTTGTTACGAACATTGCCTATTTCCCTGGTCAGTTATGATTCATTACATTTTCTGTCATGTAAATGTTCAATCATATACCATATCTTAGAGGGCCCTGTCCGTAGCTTCATTTTTTGTTAGTAAGAACTAAGAACTAAATGTTATCAATACTTGACTTTCAGATTTATGTGTTGTATATAGCTATTTATATATATGTAAGCATACACAACCATCTTGGTCAAATGATCATTATAACTATTTTATGACTTAGTGCCTGTTCATCAATTTTTTTCTCTTCAAAGAACCAATGTGGCTCTAATATGTCATATCAGGTCAATGATCGTGTTAATTTGCATTTTTTTTTCTTGATGGGGCATAGCTTAGAAAAAAGCAAATTAGATTAGGAGCTGTGTGCAAATAGACTTGATTAAAATTTTAATTGGATTCTCCAATTGAGAGTCTTAACAATTATCTAAATGATAATTTTGGTAAACGACTCCCATCTAAAACACGACCAACCAAGTGTGTTGACAATTAAAGCACTTACGTGCTAGGTAACTAGTTTGGAGTTTTGTAACAGCTCAAGTCATCGCTAATAGAAATTATCCGCTTTAGTCTGTTACGTATCGCTATCAGCCTCACAGTTTTAAAACATGTTTAGTAGGGAGAGGTTTTCACACGTTTACAAGAAATGTTTTGATCCTCTTTCAACCTGAGATCTTATGATCCACTCCCATTGGGGGCTCAACGTCCTCACTGACACACTACCCGATCTTGATCTCTGATACCATTTGTAACAGCCGAGGCCACTACTAATAGATATTGTCTACTTTAGTCCATTACATATCTTTGTCAGCCTCACAGTTTTAAAATGCGTCGGTTAGGGAGAGATTTCCACACCCTTATAAAGAAAGTTTCGGTTCCCTCTCTAACCGATATGGGATCTCACAAGCTCAAAGTTAATAATTCTAGTCTAATTTTGATGAGTTTTTACTCCACTTCGATAGGGATGAGCTAAACTAGTCACTGTCTTCGACTACTTTGAATTCAATCACCTCGATATGCTATCCAGTTGATAAATTGTAGTCAAAATATGGACCGTGGGAGGTCTCACTAAATAGTTTATCGGTAGAACCATTCACAAATTTTGACCATAAATTTTTTGCTGCTCCGGCGTACAGTACGGAGCTGTCATTGTAAACCCTAAACTCCGAACTCATTTAACAACAAAATATTTGTTTTAAAAGGATGCAAATAGAGCCAGGAAGAAGAATGTATTTTTCGTGACTGTGGTTGTCTAGCTTGCATAACCTTTTCCTCATTCTCTACATAATTTCATACTACTAACTAGTTGCCTTTTTCTTATGAACAAAACGTGTAATATACAGTTCAAATGGTTGTATTTTGTCACTTTCTCATGCACTATAATACAATTTTAAACAATTAATTAATAGGCTTATAAGCTTTTAAGATGAAGATTACTTCATTTAATGGAATAAATATTGTAATTTCCATTATTATAAATAGCAGCAAGGAGTAGAAGCAAGCTCCATCCCATTCAAAAACAGAGACAGAGCTTCTTCATCTTGTGCTCTGTTTTCATATTTTACGCATAGCCATGACAGCCCAAGAAACCAAAGCCCATGTTGCTTTACTGGTCAGCCCCGGCATGGGCCACCTCATTCCCTTCCTTGAGCTAGCCCACCGCCTTGTCCACCACCACAACCTCCACGCCACCCTCTTCGTCGTCTGCTCTGGCACCTCCGCCGCCGAGTCCCTCCTCCTCCAGAAATCCTCTGCTGTCAACGTCGTGCCTCTTCGCCCCTCCGTCAGTCTCGACCCAAATGCCAATTTCATCGATAAACTCAAGGCCATAATGTCCGCCTCTCCTTCCCTCCTTCGGCGCTCCCTCTCTACTGCGAAGCCCCGCCCGGCGGCGCTGATTGTCGACCTTTTTGGGACATGGGCTCTTGCCATAGCCCACGAACTTGGCATGTTGGGGTTCGTTTTCATGACCACTAGTGCTTGGTTCCTTTCGCTTGCCAGGTTTTTTCCCACCATGGACAAGCAGATGATCAACGACCACGTGTACAACCACGAACCGCTGAGAATCCCGGGTTGCAGCCCGGTCCGGTTCGAGAATACCACCCAGGTGTTAGAGAACGGTGTCTACGACGACTTTGAACTTATGGCAAGGGAGCTTGGAACGGCTGATGGGATCTTATCGAACACGTGGCAGGATCTGGAGCCCACTAACATAAAAGCGCTAACTGAAATTGAGACTCTCACCTTTGGGAAAGCCGAAGGAGTCCCGATTTATCCAATTGGGCCGTTGACTAGACATGCTGAGCCCAATTTGGAGAGCGAGGTGCTGAAGTGGCTCGACAGGCAACCGGATGAGTCGGTGATATATGTGTCGTTTGGGAGTGGGGGGACGTTGAGTGAAGAGCAAATCAAGGAATTGGCGTGGGGGTTGGAGCTGAGTCAGCAGCGGTTCGTTTGGGTGATACGGCCGCCGGTGGATACGGATTCCTCGGGGACATTTTTCACAGCAGGGAACGAATCGAGGGACCACAAGTGGCCGCCGGAATACCTTCCGGAAGGATTTGTAAACAGGACGAAAGAGGTGGGTTTGCTTGTTCCGATGTGGGGACCACAGGCAGAGATTTTGAGTCACCGATCGGTAAGGGGATTTTTGACGCACACTGGTTGGAACTCGTCGTTAGAGAGCATAGTGAACGGAGTGGCGATGGTGACGTGGCCACTGTACGCAGAGCAAAAGATGAACGCGGCGGAGCTGACGGAGGAGGTGGGAGTGGGGGTAAGGGTGTCGCGGGGGTTGGTGAGTAGGGGGGAGATAGAGAGTAAGGTGAGGAAGATAATGGCGGAGGAGGATGAAGAAGGGCGGAGAATCAGAGAGAGGGTTAAGGCGCTTAAGCGTAGTGGGGAAAGGGCCGCCGCCAAGGGTGGGTCGTCGTATAATTCGCTGGCTAAGGTGGCTGCAGAATGTGACATTTTCCGCCGCCAGACACAGCTCAGGATGGCCGCCGCCGCCTGATGCTACTATGTTCTCAGGTAGTGAACATCATTAACATTTAAATGTTTTTTTTATTTTCTTTCTATTTTTGTTTGTTTTTTGTTTTAATTCAACCACAGAAGAATAAAGCGAAAAAGGTGAAGTAATTAATATAAGGATATTTTCGTCATAAAATTTGTCTATTTATTTTAATTCATTTTGAATGATGCTCAAAATACTTGTTTATTAAAAGATAAACACTTGAAAAGTAAGTGAGACTGTTACTATTTATGTAAGTTTAATAAATCTGAAAATTAATTATAATCTTTAATAATTTTGAGATTGATTAAACTGAGACTAAATAAAAATTAAAACAAAATGATTTCCAAATATCTAATCTTTAATAATTTATACATTTCGTCAGTAATTCATAATTATTTTTAAAATCAACTAAAAATACTATTACACCATTCATTCTAAAAAGTAGAAAAAAAGAAAAAGAAAAAAAAAGGATTAAATATCAATCGTATTCATAAATTTAAAAAGTAAAATTTGATCGAAACTCTTCATATCCAACCGATCATCCAATCCATAACTGTATGTGTGTATATGTATATATGTATATCGAAGAGAATTTTAAGTGATTTCGATACGTAAAAAAAAGTATTTAATTACATAAATAAATACATGGGAAGATGGGTTATTGCCCCCAGAGATTAATATTTTATACGTTTATGAAGAAAAAAAAATGATTGAATATAGACAATTACAGTATAGAGTGAGCATGGAAGGTGAGCACCACAACTGAGAGTAAAGATAGGAAGAAGTTAGAAATATTTGGTACAGCGTCGGCAGTGGCAGGGACTGAAGGGCCGGTGGTCGACACATTGCTCACCGGCGGTAGCGGTGGGTCGACGATAGCTTTTCCATCCAATGGAGGCGAGGGAGGATCCACACGTGGTCGTACCTCTTGCGGCACCAGAGCAAGGAGTGTTCCAACTTCTGGCGGTAAGATTGAATATCCACTGCTATCCGTGTGAACTGGCCGACACGGACATGCTGCAGTCACCAAGACAATTAAAAAAAAAAAATTATAATAATATATGTTTTAACGAGTTGAGTTATGAGTTTAGGATCATTACTTATATATCGTTTTGCAGTATAAGGGAAGTCAGTGATGACGCCGTCAACGTGGAAGAAGTCGACGTATGTGGAGACTTCGAGAGAGGCTTGGGAGTAGTAATCAAACGCTAAAGACACGTATTCATTCCTTATGACATAAACGAAAACGGAGAGATTGGCGGACTTCAATTGAGCAACCACATCCGTGCTGCTAACCGTAAAATAGTTGGTGATTTCGACTAGGGCTGAACGAGGAACGGCAACAGCGTCAGCATGGATTTTGATCTCGTCAGCGACCTTTTTGGGGACTTCCCCATACTTGCCATCAACAGTTAAAACTCTTATGAAAGTTGGGAAATTGGTTTTGAAAGCGGTCAACACAGAAGTGTCATCCGACCTTATATAAACTTT